TTATTAATGTTTTTTTTCGCATAATCATCCCTGAAAATCCTGCATAATTTTGATTTTTTCACACATAATGCCAGAATCCCTGTATGTTAGTAAATCCACTGCAACTATCATGTAATAGTTCTAATTGCTGAATTGGTGCATGTGCAGTTTTGGTAATTTATTTGAAATACAGTACAGTTCATGATCACATTCTTATACCAGCATATTTAAGGGTGTTGTGGGGTGCATATTTTTTTCAAATGAAATATTCTCATTTTATGGATTTTCTAGTTCATCTTTGAACAAAGTCTGGTTTTGCATTCAGATGTTTGTACTGTGTATACTATTGTGTTGCCATTAGCAGTATGATTTCTTTAATTTATTGACAAACCCTTATTGATTAAAACAAAATAATGTCCTATGTWCTTAATAGGTGGAGAATCTTAAAAAGGCTATCAAAGCCACATCTCAAGCAGACATGGAGGATGAAGGTGCAGTRGTKTCATATCAAAGCCAACAGTATCAACAGAGATCAGCTACTTCTACTAAACAGAAAGGGTATGCTTCGTYATGTTAATTGGTCAGCTGATTAATGCACTTGTCAAAGTTTCTYCCTTGGGTTACTAGTGTGATGTCAAATTTCCTGGAAATGTCTGGTGTCTCCTCCTTCTCCCCCAAGGACTAAACTTTGATAAGTACCGTAGAGCGGATTTCGTATGACTGTGGAAAAAACACGGTACGTTCGTGCTGTGACCATACAGTGCTGTAGCGGTGATGTAGTGTTAAATCTTTATTTTTATTTGGAATCCTAGAAGGCGAGGTTCCATGACCGTGCCGTGCTGTGTCCGTGTTGTGATCCGTGCCGTTGCAGTCATACGAAATCCCGCTCTAGTACTGTCCCTTAAGCGGACCTTTTGAAGCAGAAAAAGTATTCATTGGTAGAGCTGTTCGCCTATATTAGAGARTGTAAATAGAGTGTTTGTATGAAAGAAAATAGGGTTTTGGGTAGCTGTCTTTATTAACCTCAGTATCAGGCCTTCTAGGGGGCCTGAGGAGAGAGAGCAGAGAGAGAGCCTGATACTCAGGTTATCTTCTTATGAGAGCGTTTATAAATGGAAATTGGACTGTAAAAATAACATTTGAGTGTTACTAATAGTAAATTATTTTTTATCTTCTTTTAGCCTTAAGGGAGCAAAAATGTTTGGATCTCAAGTACGACGATGAGAGTCATAGAATCAGTTCCCAGATCACTGCAATGTAATTGCAAAGCTTGTACATTTAAAATAAAATCATTACATTTAGATATTTATACAAGCTAATACATATCATGCTGGACTTTGGGTCGACCACAGGAAGCCCRGATCGTAATATCATGAAGCTTTTGTTGAGGAGACCTTGAGAAGACATTAACCCGTGAACTGAAATGTAACTTTTTACCGCACTTSTTTGAATTCTCGCTCGCTGATTGGTTGATTAGAGTCTCGCGTGCGCGCTTTGTTGAAAGAAAATAATGATTTTCGCTAATACTCCAGTTTCGAATTCATAGCGAATAACCGCTGCTTTATTTGACAACAGATTCTCTTGTGCAAAGACCTTACAAACACAAAAGAGAGCACGAGAAAATGTCGTTATTATAACAATAGACTTGAAAATTTGCATTTTCCCCGAGTTGAGATTAACCCTGTATTCCCATAAGACCTAAGGTATGAGCAGGATTAGCCTCAACTCGGAGAAAATGTAGATTCTTAGCGCTCTATTGTATTAACAACATTTTCTCGTGCTTTCTTTTGTSTTTGGTAAGTTCTTTGCGTAATAGAATCTGCTGTCAAGTAAAACAGCGGTTATTCGCTTTGAATTCGAAACTGGAGTATTTTTAGACTTGAAATGCGGTGAAAATGTAATAAAATCTTCAGATACTTTACCCTGTTTTTCAACCCTTTTTTACACGTRAAGAGTGTAAGAGGACGTTCAACACAAAACCGTGCGTAGTTTTTTAAGTACGTTGTTGTGTAAGAGTCAATATACACAAGAAAGAATTATTAATCTTACACTATATTGTTGTACGGTACCCTTTTCACGGGTATATGACCTCACTCTACAACTCTGAACATGTGTCTCTAGTTGTTAATCATTCGTTTTTGGATACTAAAGACCGAAAACTGTCCATGTTGGTGGCATGGTATGGTACAATGGTGTCTACTAAAGCAGTCACCCTCTGAACATACCAAGTGGGACCAAAGTGGTCGTATAATAAGGTTAGCACCTCGACAAAAAATGTTTTTGTTGAAATAATGTTATACTTCGATTAAAAACGAAAATTCTCAATAAACCCTTTTAGCGATCTCTTTTACGCTGTGTTAGCCTCAAAACCATGTAATAAATTCTTTTATTCACAACAGCCCGTGCAAATGCAAGAGATCCGTGAGTATAGAAGACAATAATAATTAAATAATTATCTGAATATTTTAGCACACAATTGAGGCTAACACAGCGTAAAAGAGATCGCGAACTCAACTATTATGCTGCGTTATTGTTTCTGGTTTTGGTTTAAAAAAGGTTCTTATGAATATCACAGATCAGATGCATGAAAAATGGTCAAATGATACAAAATTCCACCATGCTGGTCGACATGCTGTGGACAGATTGATGAAAATACATTTCGTTATAAACTTGATAGTGTTGTCCTGTTGTTGCCATTGATTTATAGTTTGTTTCTTATCTACCCTCTCGGGCAATAAAGAAAGGAAAAGAATAGAATAAAAGATAAAATAACTTAAGAAAAATATATAGATTATATATCAAAATAATGATAACWAGAAAGGGAGAAACGGATCGGAAGAACTAAACTAGAAGAGAAACCGTTTATAATCTTTCTGCAAGTAAAACGGTAGTACCACGCCTGTTTTTTAGGCGATTGAAAGACTAAATAGACACAGCCCACAAAACACTAAGAATTCAATAGGACAATTTTAATATAAATTGTAAGAAACCAAATAGTAAAAAATAAAACAAGTCATCCCACGCTTTCCTTATTCGGGTTTAGAACCCACTGCTCACTGCCCTCCCACGCACGGCATGCCGGGTAACGCCCATTTTCTGTAAGGCACTTTACTGAACCATACAGATATAACTGGAATGATGTCTTGACATTGTGGTTTTGTTGGTGAGCGAACAGGACACGACATATATTAATTCATAATGAACAAAGCCCCTTCACCACTAGACATATAGAAACTTATTCAGTTATTCTCACCCAAATTCATCGGATCAGCATCAAAAAGTAATTTTTTCGCTAAAAATTTCCTGCCGATAGTTGACATCGATACTAACTTGGACATTTTATAGCATCTAGTAAAGGTTGGATGGAACACATATGCTGCATTTATAAGGAAAACTAAAAACTCGTTACGTGTTCGGATGGGCCAACTCATTTCCAACGGCCTTGAAGTAAAATATTTCTATCATAGACAACTCTATACTGCCTTAGGTCATCAATGTCAGGCGCGCCTTAGTTCCGACAATGACAATCCAAAACCTTCTATATTACGGGCATTTGCGGGCACCCAGTACTAGTGTCAAATGGCCGGACCTGTCGTGCCCGGTAAGTGCAAACAGAATGTTCCGTGGTCGGCCTACGAAGGAAGTATTAGACAATAAAYTATTAGAAAATTTGAGTTTTTGAGACAATGGATCCATTAAATGTATTCTGACCTCATGTTGACCACGCGCCTAACCACTACGGAAGCACGGTGTAGCGGCCCGCTATCTTGACTGTATCATTCTTCGTCCCGTTCTAACACTCAGACGTATGAAGTTTCTAGAAGCAGGTCAGTGAGAGAGTTCATTTTTGCTTAAATCCTTGACGATTCGATCATTCTGATGCTAAAATCATCTTTTTGTAGAGAAGACTATAGAGAACATTTCCACTTTACTAACATGACATTTGGGGTGAGTAGAATCCATGTGATTTCATGCCAAGAAATACTGCTAGACGCGGACAGCTATGTTGTTGWKMCAGTCATATGCCATACAGCAATACTGTAAGCTGCTTTTGTTATTTTATAATATAAACGCGTAATTTCGTTTRTGATATGATCGATCATGCTAAGCTATTACAGCGAACCGTCCTGAGTAGCATTTTAATTGCAGCATGATACAATTCAACACATCACTCTATCATTTATCCTGTACTAACGGAAAGAAATATATAGTACCAATTTTTTGTACTGACACCCATGGATTTCAGAAAAAAATGACACTTTAGATATATATATATAAAATCGATATAACAAACAYTTCCAAAATAACTGAAAAAATTATGGGACGGCTACCTAAATATATATTTTCAAGAATGCCCGAGGTATATGTTCGATATATTTAATGTACCATTGTCACTTAATATCATAGCTAAATAAGTGTCATTYTTTTCTGAAATCGGTCATATAGCAACATCGAACGAATTAATGATAATATAATAATTGCACAGAAGACTCAAAAGTTTATAATAATCATATAATAGCTGCGACTGAATTAATCCGATCAACAAAAAAACAGCATTATATTTAATGCCTTTTTTCTCAGTACCGAACGGTTAGGGTTCAGTAGTCATCGACTGATGGTCAAATGTTTGGGATCTTTTGTAGCTTTCTTGAATTCTTAGGGTGCTTTGACATGCCGAATTTCACCCATAATTCAATCTCGATAAAAAAGTGTTGGAATCATCAGATGTCGAGACTACAATTAAGTTCAACTATTTTAGACATTACAATAATAATAATAATAAAAACACGCGCATATACCAACAAGGCATCTGATTGGAGAATCAAGCTTCTTTTTTTTATTTGTGCGTGAGAAACAACCTTTTCTGAAATTTAGAGAACATAGTTGACCGGACTACCAAACAACCCACAGAAAAACTAATAACCTCCATTCATAATATATAATAACCAAACACGACAAAATTTGTATGTTATTCGTGCGGGATCCCTGTGCATTTTATTACGCGGGTCGGGGGTTTCAATTGATTAGTGCATAACCGCCGTCTTTTTTCAATTCTTTTTAAATAAAATTTCATCTGGTTAATAAAGTTTTAAAGGTGGTATTTTAATATTGAAAAGCTGAGCTTAAGACTAATGTCTATTGACTTCCAGAAATGATTTGTGTTTCGCCATATTTAACATTTGTTGTTTACTTTGATAGGCTTACGAACTTACCGAGGAGCAAATAGCAGGTAATAAGGACTCTTATCAAACTATCATCGATTTCTTTACAGACATTATATATTTAAGAAATATAAAACGGCGCGCGTGCATCTGTCCTCTGATGTAAACAGGGTTGGAGTTGAAGAACATGAGAGAAGCAACTTAGAACACGAGCGTAGCTATAGCGAGTAGTGTTTCACTTGCTTCTCGAGTGCTTTTCAACTCCCGGCACCGTGTTTTGTTTCTTTTCCTGCGTTTTTCGAACGAAAAACAAATTTTGCCGGTAAGCCGTGTCTGTCCTCTGATATAAACACGGTCGTCAGCCAATCAGAGCGCGAGTTATAAATTTTATAGAATACTATAATTCTCTCGATTCCGATTGAATGAGAACTGGGAGCGCATCTACGGCCGATGTATTATTGAAGACACGATWTTAATTTTGACTGCGACTGTAAAATACAGTGCCTACATGTAGTAGAATACAGTACCTACATGTCGTAGGTCGCATTTACCGCGCACGATCGTCGGTATGCGATTCGTATATGCATGCATGATGACTCTTAATATTTTTAAATTTAATTGCAGAATTCAAGGAAGCGTTCTCGCTTTTTGACAAAGACGGCGATGGTACCATTACCAATACAGAGCTGGGAACAGTCATGAGGTCTCTTGGACAGAACCCAACAGAAGCTGAACTACAGGACATGATCAATGAAGTTGACATCGATGGTATTTTGCTTTCCATGTTTTACCACCTCATATACACCTGCTGGTGTACTTTATTACATTAATCAGTTACGAAAGGCACTCCAGCTAAGCGTTTTTGTCAGTCGTCTTTCTTAAAGTGCCTATGACGCCTGACACAATAATTACTGATTCTCTGAAATATTTCTGCATGTCAGTGTTGCGTCTTTGACTATGAAGTTTTAATCTTACAGTATGCTATTATGACGTCAAGGGAGGCTTCATTAGATATACGAACTTTGAAACAGTCGCTCAAAAATGTTTTCATGAACGCCACCTGGGGATATGGTTATTCCCTACATTTCCTACGATAAACAGTGAAATGTCATGAAACCATTTTTAAGCGACTCCTTCCAAATTCGTATATCTAATGAAGCCCTTCTTTGACGTCATTTTCATTGACATAATTCAAGATTGAACCTTTATATAACTCATAGACGTAATACTGAAATGGAAGGAAAATTTCATCATTGAATTATTTACTTCAGTTTAATCAGCTCACAGAGAATCAGAAATTATTGTCATGCGCCATAGGCACTTTAATGACGTCACATATAGTTTGGCGAGTACTCTGTGCTATGCTATGGATTTTTCCCTCCCCCCTCCCCTAGAGCCGCCACGCAGGCTAGATCGCCCAGCACATCCAATGTTTTACCAGGCTCTGAAGAAAGTTGATCAATCTTTTCCAGGTAACGGTTTGATTGATTTTCCCGAGTTTCTYCACATGATGGCCAGGAAGATCAAGGAGTCTGATACCGAGGAGGAAATCCGAGAAGCTTTTCGTGTGTTCGATAAG